ATCGGCACACCATAAAAATTAATGCGGCTCTGGCACTGGCTGGCAGCTAATCGACAGCTAGCATTTCATATTAGGAGCGCTCTAATTGAGCTCTATATGCGACATACTTATATACAAATTTTGTTGTTGTAGTACCTTGCTAACCTTTGGGCAGAGCTGGGGGAATGTTTGTTATGTTTGCAAACCGTCTCTCATACCCGCTTTCAACTCTAATGTAGGTCATTAGAGGTTATTACTTATAGTATATAAATGGACAGGTTGTGAGTCACACGCTGACTGCCATTGAAAGATGTTGTTTTGGGTTCAGTTTATAATTAGATGGTGGATGGCATTGTTTGCTCATTCACAGTTGCACATTGAAAGAGATAGAGATACTGGACAGAGTAAGAGAGAAGCAGAGAGTGAGTGAGAGACTTCAGTTTGTCACGATTTTGCTTATTTTTAGCAAACTTACGACTGTTCGGTTTATTGACGTAGGGGTAAAAGAGAATTGTACCGCGCGACGCGATAAGAAATATTATACAGCATTGTGCATACGGCTGATTAAATACACTAGCTAGCTAGCCAAGTATATCCATAAATAAATGTGAAGGGACTAATTATACGCGGAACTTCTCAAAGACTCAAAGAGAGCAATACACGCCCAAATTCGGTATATATAGTATACAGATATCCAGGATATTTTACTAATTTGTCAATAGACCAGCTACCTTATTTTCTTTACATAGACCTTGTACAAACTGTCCAGTATTAAAGCTTAATATATCCCATATTAATTACTTTAAGTTGTATCGCCTTTACCGCATAAGCTCAGATCCAATTCCATTTGTTTTAATTTATTATACTTTATATTACTATTACTTTTACAAATACTATATTATATGGATGAGAATTATTATCTGCTTCAGCTTAAGGCGTAACTTTCAGACTCTATTTCAACCTTGGATATATTTTCTCACTCCTTGTGCGACCCTATTCTGAGCTCTACTTAAATTCACAATTTTCTTATCAATAATCCGTTAAGTTGAGAGCTATGAGTCAAAGGTGCAACGCAATGCGGTATGTCAATTACCCGCAAATATCGGTCAGGCTGTGCACACGCCCATAAAAATGTACAATATTTACCTTGTAAATGTTCCCATTTGCGTGTGAAACAAAGAAATTGATTGCTGCAGCTGGTCACAGTGTATTTTTATAGGCCCCATTTAAGGGGCGAGTGGAACAATCACAGACACTTGTCGCGCTGCCACCTTTTAGGTGGGCATAGATAAGGGGCAAGCAGGGGTACTCAGTGTGAAGAAGCGTGTGAAAGTGACGCCAGTGGCAAACAAGAGAAAGACCCGCGAGATAGATTTCTTATCTCTTGGATGTTTGACTCAACTAAATCTATTCTCCGCCTTCGTTCTTTTCACTTTCAGGCTGCCATACGACTGGATGAGCCCGCGGCTAAGGTGAATCACATTAAGGGCCAGCAGGAGGAGTGCGAACTGAAGCTGGAAAAGGAGCGTGATGCGTGGGCGGCACAAATGCTGGAGCTTATTGCCAAAGAGGACGAGATTGTCAGCTGCATACGTGACTATGTGCTCAACCAAAGAAACTATCACGAACGTGCGCTGCAGCATGTGAATGAATCGCTGGCGCGCATTCAGGATACCATACAGGGCACGGAGAAATCGCGATTTGGCACCTCGCTCAAGGAGCATCTGCAGTCGACACATCGCGACATCTCCTACATTGTGGAGCTGTGCTGCTGTTGCCTCCTGGAGCATGGCCTAGAGGAGGAGGGTCTGTTGCGTGTGGGCTGTGCCAGCACCAAGCTGCGACGCATGAAGCACGCACTGGAGGCTCAGCATGTGAAAACACCCCTGCCACTGGAGTATCAGGATCCGCATGTCATTGGCTCGATATTGAAGTTGTATTTGCGTGAACTGCCCGAGCCACTGCTCACATATGCGTTATACAAGGATTTTATACGCATTGCGGAGCGGCACACCGAGGCGGAGCGCAAGACGGAGATTAAAGCAATATTGAACAAACTGCCCAAGGAGAACTATGCCAATCTGCGCTACCTCACACGCTTTCTGGCGCTGCTGCAGCAGCGGGCCGTGCACAATAAGATGAGCTCTCAGAATTTGGCGATTGTCATGTCACCGAACATGCTCTGGCCGCGCGTCGACAAGAGCAGCAATGCCCCAGCCGATTACATTGGCCAGGTGAACAGCTCCTCGGCAGCGAACATTATTGTCGAGCTGCTCATCAGTCAGTGGGACTATTTTTTTGATGGTGATGTCGAGTTCTATGTAACGCTGCAGCGTCAAAAACTGTTTGTCGAAGGCAAAAGCAAATCGAATTCCTCAAATGAGCATTTGGATAAGCACGATAGTGGTGAGTACTGAGGCAACCGACCATTCAGCAACTCCTTTTACTCTCTGCTTGTCATCCTAGAAGTCATGGAGAGTCCGCGCTATGGCACGCTGCGTCGCCAGAAACCCAATGCGCCCTCGCCGCCTACCAAAACAGAGGCCACCAGCAATGGCGTTGGCTCCAACCATCGTCCGCATGCCAAGGAGCTGTTCCCGCAGCAGGACGAAAAACCGGAAAAGCAGGAGAAGCCAGCAAAGCCGCCGCTGCCCAATCTGGCGCAGTTCCAGCAGCCGACAGCGTCCAGCCAGCCAACGCACACACAGCTGGAGGCGTTGCCGCCGCCGCCAGTGACGCCCGCCAAGCCCGTACCCATGACGCGCACACAGTTCTTTGGCTTGGATAATCTGCCTTCGCCCACGGCGGATCGCAGGAGCATCGATAGCATTGGCAGCTTTCGCTTAAAGCCAGATGTGCCACAAAAGCCGCAGCTGCCCAAGCGGCCCATGGTACTGGCAGTGGGCAGCGGCGGGCCGAAGGGCGACAGTAAAAGCGACGATGAGGCCATAACACCCACGCAGGCGACCATTGACAATAGCAATGGCAATGTACGTTACACCACGGAGAAGTTTATAGAGAAATTGCGACACGAAAATTGTGATACAAATGGCACGCGAGAGGAGGCGACAACGGGGGCACCGACAAATACAGCAACTAACACAGCAACAAATACAACTACAGCAGCAACAAGCATAGCGGGCAGGGAGCACAACCATAATCATGAACAGCCGCTAACAGCGGGAGATAAGGAGCAGCAGCCGCAAGCCACGCCGACCACACCCATATCGCCAAACTCATTTCAAACGCCCAAAAGGCCAACGGTGCCAGCGCCGCCGCCGCCAACAATACGCAAACAGGCGGAGTAATTGTAGTTAATAGCGAATCTTTAGTTAACCGGTGGCGCTTTCTATATGTTAACCCTAAGACTTGAACGCACATTAATTTAGTTAAAACAAAGCCTTTCGTTGCATTAAATATATATAAATATATATATGTAGAGTGAAAGCAACTTAATTCTGTATTCAGCATTTGTATTCTTTGCAATTTAAACTGTGTGTTTTATTTTAGCCATATGTTAAAAGATATACATAAACGATATATACACACACATATATATATATATATATATATATATATATATATATATATATATATATATATATATACTTATAAACATACATATATATAAGTCTGTAGTAGGCATTCATGAATTAACTCAATTTTGTCGAAATTTCACGCGAAAAATGTTCGTTTAAAAAAAAAAATTATTGTTATCCTTGTTTAAAAGGTTGTGATACACAGAAAAAAAGAAAAATTAAGGTTTGTGTTTCCTTAACTTTCCGTTGCTCTTGTTTCCCAATTTCTGAAAGACAATTTCTAATGTGATTTAAAATTTGTTGCCTTTGTTGTAAAATTTTTGTTACGCTTTGTACTTGCTGTTGGGCTTAATAAAAAACAACCAACTATTCTTTCCAGTTCGAAAAGAAGTAAAGCAAAACTCGAGCGTATTTTCTATGTACATATAGCATATAGTTTTAATTGAGGTCTTATCAATTTTAATTTGATGTACTCTGTATTTTTGCTTTATTAATTTGTAATGCAACTATTATTATTATTTTAATCTATAATAAACTGATGTATGAATATTTGTTGTGTATATAAAATATACATTAAAAAGTCATTTATGAGTTCATAAACGAAATATTTTACAAATTTTATTTTGTATATTTATATTTGTAAGTTGCAATCGTGAATATAGCTGAGCGTTTATTCAGGGCCTATAAAATATTAATATATGTGAACACAAAACTGTAAATGAAATATGTATGAGAAAAATCAAAATAATCCACTTGATTTTAAGAAATATAGATCAAGAAGGAACCCTTATAGCTTTTTATAAGCTTATAAGCAGTTCTATAGAACTCTACACAGGAAGATCTATATAAAAAGCTAGTAACCAGTTGTCGGCGTTTATCTGCGTAAAACTATTAAGCAATATTCTTCTCCTAGCTATAAACAGCTCTCTTTAATTTTCTTTTACAATTTACTTTTTATATCTTATAAAATATCCCATTTCTAAGCTGAACAAGTTAAGAACCAGGCACAATTAAGTCTAATATATGCTATTATTCAAACATTTTCAATTTTAATGTAACCTCACAAGATCATGGATAAATCGAAATATTTGTGCCATAATATAATTGAATACCTGAGCAAACATTTCTAAGGAAAGTAGAAATTTAACTTAAACAAAGAATTTGCACCGTACAACTTAACACTATCATATCTATACAAACACACTATATTTTCCAACTTAAAAAATAAAGCAAGTATTAACTATATAGGCGCTTAAACTGAAAGCAAGTGAAAGGAATTATAAAATTTATATAAAAACTGCAATTGCCGACGGTTAAAAAAACAATGACCAATTAAAATGAAAACGAAAACAAAAGGCAAAAATCTTAAATATAGTATTTTAGTAAGCTGAAAAGTTCATATAATGTTGAGAAATTTTTGAAATATATATTCTGCTACAATATTTGAATAAAAACGCTCGAACCATTTGCAGCATAAGTGATTGTTGTATTTCCAGAAAATCATATACAATATGATTAAGCAAATATATTAATATATAAAATCCATTTAGCATATAAGAACGTACTACTGTACGTATGGTTGATATCAAATAATTTAAGAAAAATACTATGTCTCAGTTGTAAGCTAGCTTATGGAGCTGTCTGCAGCGCTACAAAAATCGGGCGAGGCATGGGCGCCTGTGATGTGAAGGAAGTACAGCAGCTGATGGGAGTTGCCTGCTGATGTCTTTATGGCGTTTTCTGAAAGTTTTTGTACTGCAGGTTGCTCTGGCTGTTCCTTAGATTCTAGCTCACGCACATAATCCATAAAGTTATCCGCATTCAGAGGCGTCTCCGCGGCTTGCTTTGCATTGCCGCCCTCTTGGAGCTTACTTTGAAATTCGCTGCGATAATAATCATTAATCATGGACATCATGCTCTTGGAATACCTAGTGAGTAGGAAATAAAATAAGATATATTTACATAATAATAAGTATGTATAGCATAGCTGTACCAATAGATGATGCCTATAAGTAACATGCCCTGCATAAATGGGCCAACCATTTTGTCCTCTAAAATTTTTACTTAAGTCTTACGCTAGTTCTATTGTTGCTGTTGGCGTTCACGAAAGCTTTCCCACCATTGATTTAGCATATAGAACTGTTCCCTAATATTCGGCCAGGCCATGGTAACGATTAACATTACGGTGTTTGCAAAGACAAAAAGTTTCATCATCTCAAATGCTGAGAGGAGCAAGAAAATGATTCATATAAATAGGCATGCTTTGAATTTATATTTTTCTTGGGCATTTACAGACCCTCCGGCGTTCGCAGATAGTCCCCAAAGCCAGAGTTCAGATCCTGGTCTTGCTCATCCTTGTGCTCATGCAGCTGCTGATCCTTGTTACCCTTGCTTTTGTCCTCCGTCTTGTCCTTGTGGCCGCCGTGGCCGTGACCTTTGCCGTGTCCGCTCTGCTTGTGCTTGCCGTAGCCTGTTGATGTATTGGCAAAGGCAGATTTCTTGGATTTCATTGCATCCAAATGGAGCACAAACAGCAGTTGCTCGCGGTCTCTTTATCCTTGTATACGACGTCTGTTGGCCACGTCCCAACGGCACGAAAGCTGCTCCCACAATGACAAGTCGCCACAATTAGCCACATGGCGCTATGCTGAGACTCTTGGCAATTTTATGGTTTCGTTTTTATTGATTTGCAATTCTTACTAGTTCTTTTGTTGGGGGGCAGGCAAATCAGGTGAATTTACGGACACAAAAAGACTGTCAGTAGAGCAATGCGCTTAAGATATCTATGCCTATTATTTTGGTGTCAGCTTTGAACGCCGAATTGGCTAGCGCACAGGGCGAGGGGGGGGGGGGGGGGCGGTGTGTTAACAAACTTCTAAATATATGTATGGAATAAATTTGTATAGATTTATTTGTTTATAATATCAATATCATCAAATTTAATTCGCACTCTTGGATTGGATTCATAAACATTATTATTATAGTCAAGGCTTATAGATAATCACAAATTTATTCCTAGCTAGGCTAAGGTAATTCTAGGGATAACATAACTGATTAAATTGTTCTAACTATCACATATTACAAATGCGTGCTGTAGCTGTTGTCAACTTTCTTGTGCTGCTGCTGCGTCTCCGGCTGGTACTCCTGCTCCGGCCTTGCCTCGAGGGGCGTACGCAGGCAGCAAGTGCAAATGCCGCCCAGAATAACCAGCACACAGAAAGTGGACAGAGAGAGGGCAATGTTGAGCTGCTTTAGCACCGTGAGAAACGAGGCGGAGAGCAGCCAGACCCGCGCCCAGGTGACCACCGAGAAGGCAAAGGTGCCACGTCTCTGCGGCGGCAGACATTCACCCATGCAGGCGATGAGCATGGACTGGGCGCAGGATACGCCCACCTTCGGCAGTGCGGCAAAGAACATCCATAGAATAATCTCATAGACTTCGGGCACTGAAAGCTGCAGAGTTTTAGTCATCCTTAAGTTGAGCAAATATTTGTATATATATATAATTATATATATATATAAACCCACTCTGTACATCATTGAAGAACCAGCACAGACAGCCAACGGCGCCGCCCACAATGCAGAAGCCACCCGCCCACTGCCACTTGCGGAAGTTGTGCCACAGGCACAGGTAGACGGCTAGCAGGCAGCCAATCAGCTCCGCCAGGCCTATGGCCATGGTATTGGGCGTCAGGTAGTCACGGCCAAAGGAGCGTATATTCAGCAGCAGACCCATGTGGCTGATCAAAAAGGTGGCCAGTGCCATGTGTGTGGCCAGCATATGGAGCTTGGCCTGCGGATGGCCATGCCAGAGCTCCAGCCAGCGGGCGGGTGCGGGCTGCGTGCGCAGCCGCTCGCTAAGCAGCTCCAACTGCAAGCCGAGATCACGGGTCAGCCGGTGGCTGCGTTCATTGATGCGTGCCGCATGTTGCAGCAGCTGCTGGACGTGCTCGACGGCAGCAGTTGGTTCCGCATGCTGCAGCAGCCAGCGCGGCGAGTCCGGCAGCCAGGGCAGCAGCAGGACAAAGGCAAATGTCAGCGAGGTAATGCCCACATAGATCTGTCGCCAGCTGTGAGCAAATGCAGCAATGGCCGGCAGCAGGATGACGCCAATGGACCAGAAGCTGTCATAGAGCAGCAGCACGCTCTGCCGACCCTTGCCCGCCGTTATGTCACTAACTAAAGAAAGGAGAAGAATGGAGGATGCTAAAGAGCCTGACTTGGACTTCAAGCTGCAGGTGTACCCACATATAACCTGACCGGCGGTCATCATGAGGCAGCAGCAGACCGCGGACAGGCAGCGGAAGGAGCAGTGCAAACTGAAATCGTTGACCAGCCCGGTGGCCGTGCCGCAGCCGATCAGGCCCCAAATGCCGGATATGTATACCCGACGTGGACTGAGCACACGCATCAGCCGGGTGGCCACAACGCCGCCGACAAACATGCCGAACAGATGCCAATACTGCGACCAGGCCACAAAGATATCGCACAGGCAGACCAAGTCGAATTCCATGATGAGCGAGCGAAAGCTGTGAGCATAGTTGAATTGCTGGCACTGACGCATGGCAAAGTTGCCCTCACCATAGGCAACCAGCACAGAGCACTGATCCGCCGAGACGCTGGTGTTCCCCATGCCGCTATAGACGCTCGTGTCGCACCAATATTCCTCGTTCGGATACAGTTCCGGCGCCGTGAATATGATTAGGGCCATGAACCAGGCAGCGGGCAGCTTGCACAGAAAAATTATCAGCACAGAGCGCAGCTGCCAGATACCAAAGTCACCCAGCACCTGCCCGATGACATCCTGCCCAGTTGTTGGAGCTGCTGCCATATCCTGCTCCACATCCTGGCTGCCATGTATATAGTTTAGTTGGGCATGTGCCTCCGCCGTGTGTGCTTTTCTTTGGCTACCATTGGGCCTGTAGCTTCCGTCCATCTTTCAGCTGTGTACATATATAATCCAGTAGCCACGTCTGGTGGGTTTCGAACCTCCAGCATAACTGCGACTGCGCTAGCGCTTGGCGCAGCTAGCTGAACTTCTGGACAATTGCGGAGCAGAAGGCACAGTTGGTGCTAGTCAACGATATCGTCGCTAATCAAATTGTCACTTTAATAAAAATTCAGGTGTCTTCAATTGTTCACCCCTTGCAAATAGCGACTGCTCCTAAACGATTATGTCAATAGGAATGTCTTCTTGTTTTTTTTGTAAAGGTTTTCCATTAGGGCTATAATACTATAGACACAAACTTTTGCCAGACACTGTTTAGCTTTTTATAAAAGATACGAATTTCACGTGACGTCCTTTGCATTTAGTAAACACAATGTGTGAAAAAAATTCTTTAATTAATCTATTTGTAATGTTTAAGGATTTGGTGGTGAGCTCAGCAAAGAATTCCTACTCAAAATTTACATATGTAAGTTTATGCTCTCTGTTTATATAATACAAGGGGACTCTCAGTTATTTTTAGGACTTTTCTTTTAGATTGGTTTGTCTTAGTTCTTTTATGAATATTTTAGAGTTAATGCATATGCATAAATATAGCTTTTCAAGGCTTTCACTAGAAGAGCTCTCAAAATTTACTTTTATTTGTAGAATGTTTCTCTAATATAATCGATTTATACTGTTAATTATTAAATAGCCTCTCTTAATGTCATTTAAAGATATATTATGTATATAAATATATGTATTTAAAGATATATATTTTCAATTAGATATAATTACAACTACGATTATTGGCCAGCCCAAAAACTTGTTAAGCCTTGAATATACTTCAAAAAAGGCAGCTATTACCCGCTATAAATATTAGGACAGCGTTAATATTTATATTTTATATATTTATAGGAGCAAGATAGTAATTGAGCCTACTATCTCTGGAAAACCTCATTATACGAGAGAGAGAGGAAAAGGTTTTCAGCCATGCTTAAAGCTATTATAGCCGAGTCTCCAACCTTCAGTTTCTTACTGCGCCACCTAGCGGATGTACAATCAAGTAGAATCAGAGGTTTCATGTGGCTCTATCTAATCTGTATAATTTGAATGGTGGAATTGAATTAATAAAAAAATAGCAGTTCGCTATCGTAGAAATTAAAAGGAAAATAATAAGTATTAGTTAAGTTCTGAGAAAGATAGAAAATTTTTAACTATATAAAATATTTACATCTTAACATATATTTCTTTAAAAATATTAGATTGTGCTTTTTGTAGATATTTTCAAGAGTTTTCCGATCACTCTCATTGTCAAAGATTTAACTTTTATTAAGGAATCTGAAGGCAAAATATGATATATTGTTGAGGTTATGTTGGGTTAACTTGGCTAAGTTCACAGTAGTTAAGGTTATGTAAGATAAAGTAAGGTTAGGTTTATAAAAATAGGGTTAGGTAAGGCTTGCTTAGGTACGCTGAGGTTAGTTTAGGTTAGATAAGATAAAGTGATAAAGTTAAGGTTAGCTTAAGAACGCGACTAGCTCAGGGTCGTGGTCTATTCTGGGTCTATTTAAGTAATCTTATGTAAGTTCCCGTCAAGGTGTTACGCCGCAAAGTTTAAGCCAATTCAAGTCCAAACTTCAATCAAAAGTTGCGAAAAACTTGTTTTTATAGGTTTTGAAGAGTCCGCTGTTGTTTTTGTTGTTGTTAAAGTCTTTTCACTTTCATTGCAACAACAATTAGCAAAGTTAAGTAAACGGCGTTGCAGTTGCAAGCTGAGAGAAAAGCCCCTGCAAACAGTTGCATTCATGCCACGACAGTGGCCACAACGTGCTGTAGCCAGATATAATGGAAGCCCAGTTGGATATTTATAAAGATGCAGTCATCTTCATCACAGGCAAGTCTTGAATAACTTATTTTTACCATTTATATTTTCTTTATGCACTTTTACTCGATAGGCGCCACTGGTTTCGTTGGCAAAGCGCTGCTGGAGAAGTTGCTCTGGAGTTTTCCACAAATTAAACGCATCTACATGCTCATCAGAGCCAAGGCTGGCGACTCGCCTGAGCAGCGTTTCCAGAATTTCCTACAAAATTGCATATTCCAGCGCTTGCGCAGCGAATATCCCACACGTCTTCAGAAAATCTCGTA